ATAGGATCTTCTCCTCCTTATACTAGGTAGAGATATAGTACTTACTAGTAAAGATAAGAAATAGTAGAACTAACTAGCTAGCAGTATTAATAGTAGCAATTGCTGTTACTTATTTATAGTTACTAGGCTAGAGAGCCTTTAGCTTTTCTCTTCTCTTTAACCCTAATATAATAAGCTATATTATAATCTTACCTATTATAAAGCCTACCTTATTAAGATTATAGACGTCTTTATTATAGATACTATACTTAGCCTTTATCTACTCTATAAGCTTAAACTAGCTATAGATAAGAATAGAATCCTTATAAAGAGCTCTCTATCTATTATATGCTTAGTTAAAATGCGTCTTAAGACTATCTATATGCTTAATAAAGTTAGCTAGCTACTTTTGCCTAATCTAGCCTATACTATATGTAGCTAGCAGCTTATTAGCTATATTATATATAGCTGTATATATAGGCGCAAATCTATATAGATCTAGGTTAAGTATATATTTAATAACTACTTTCTCTTCTAGCTAGGTAAGCTTCTTTAAGTTAGGCTAGCAATCGCGTTAGGCAAGCTTCCTAGCGCGTTAGCAGCAGATTATTTATTTAGAAATATTATAGACTATAGCAGCTCTATAATTACTCTATATTAGATAGGATTTAATAGAGAAGATAGTAAGCTAGATATCTGCTTTATTTAAAACTAATAGAGTAGCGCTGCATTAAGCTATTATATATTAAGATAGAGAGGTATATAAAGTTAGTAGGGTGCAGCGCTTACTTGCCTATAGCGCTTGCTTATCTAACACGTTAATATACTCTATAGGTAAGCTAATTACTTTTACTAAGAATCTAGTATTCTCTAATTATCTCTCTAGTCTCTTGCTACTTTTCTCTTAAAATCTTTTTAATAATAATTATATATATTCTATAGAATATATTAGAGTTATATAAGCTTTAGAGCTATATTAGATAAGCTATTAAAGACTCTATATAGGCTATTTTAGGTCTATCTAATTCTAGTAAACTATAGTTAAATTATACTAATAAACTCTAAAAACTTTATAGAATACTATTATATATATAATCTATAAAATATCTAAGTTAATATTAATACTAGAGTAAAGGTGTTAGCTAAATCTAGGCACACTAATAATAAGAGTTATTCCTATAGAATATTAAATAGCTAATCCTAGCTAATTTTTAATAATAGACTAATTAACTAAATCTCTTAACGTACCCCACGGGCGAGCGGATCAACGGGCGAGCGAATCACTTTTGCCAAGCCCCCACCAAAACTTGACCCATCATGGCCCAAAACACCACACTTTGGTCCTGCACGGTACAGTACAGGCTGGAATATCATTCAGAGACCTCTTCTACATCAATCTTGCACGTTCGCGCGTTGTGTCCTGTCTGATTGCACCTTCCACAGCGCCGTTGGGTTGGCTCGCCCTCTTGAGTGCGCACCTGCTTCTTCGCCCTCTTCCCATCACCACGCGCCCCAAACTCCTTTAGAGCTGCCAGCCGCTGCCCATCTTCAACTATTAGGGTCCCTTCCTTCTGAACTCGCTTTCTTTTATGTGATTTTCGTCGCATGGCGGCCTCGTTAGCCGCTCGAAGCTCCTTGATTTCCTGTTGAGCTAAAACCAGCTTGTGGGATAAGATTGCTCCCCCCTTTGCGTAGTGCTCAAGCGCGCTTAGAACAGAATTTGGTGAGCTGCCCTGCTGCCTCTTATACTTCTCTCGAATCAGAGTTGATTGCGACCCAAATTCCAGGGTGTTGCTGGGGGTTTGCGACTGCCAGGGTACGTTGTTGGTGGGGAGTGGTGGTGATGGAGTCCGAAGCTTCACATTAAGGGCTGATATGACCCGTTCTGGGTCAAAGGGGACCAATCCAGCACCTCGAAACCCTCCTTGGATATTGCTAGAGGTAAACACCGCATTATAGGCTGCTTTGAAGCATGGCAGGAACTCAGTCTTTGTGATGTGGCTGATTCGGTTGCGCATAAGCAATTCGGCTTGGCGCCCGTACGCTGTCTTCAAAGGGGCAAAACAGCCCACATCAAGTGGCTGCAGAAGGTGCGATGAGTGCGGAGGCATACATAGAGTAACAATCTTGTTATCCTTGCAGTATTTCTGGAATTGGAGCGATTCGTGGCTCTCGTGGCCGTCAATAACCAGCAGTCGGTGGGTACCAGCAGTACGCTCCTTTGTATGCGCGTCAAAGTGCTTCAACCACTCAAAACCAAGCTCATTAGTAGTCCAGCCGTTACCGGAGACTGCAATAACCCAATCCTGGGGCAGGTCTTCCTCCTTGTACCAGCCGGAGAGGTGGTGGCGCGCCTTGAAGATAACAAAGGGTGGAATGGCCCATCCTTTGGCATTGATACCCTGTATGACCGTTGTCCACTCCCGGTTGCCTGGCTGGACTGCCTTTGGCCTTCCTCGTCTCTCTGAAGCTGTAACAACTGCTCCCTGGGAGATCTGGCCCATCATGAAGCCTGTCTCGTCAAAGTTGTACGTGTCGTCATCTAGGATACCATACTTGGCTTTTGTGTTTCGCACCAGGGAAAACCAGCCCTGCACAACCCCAGAATCCTCGCAGAGGGCTCGCTTGTAGTCATACCTGCGATTAAACTTCACTTTGAGCTCTGGTTGACGCTTTACAAACGTACTGGGCCAGTTTGTGCCAATAGGGCCCAGATTGCGCTCTGCGCGCAGAGAATTGGCCATTGCAGCCACATCTGCCAGCCGAGGGCCAAATCCTCGCTCGTCCAGCTCAAGTATGTGATTAACAATCACCTGCTCCTCTAGATCATCCAGCCCTCGTGAGTTGGGCATAGTATCGCCTCGTGAAGGTCGTCCAGTGAGTCGATGGCTTAGTGTAGCTTGAGGAACGTTGTAGATAGCTGCAGCGCGTCGCTGTGAGAGTTTCGCGTCTTGTTTAAGAGCTTGAAGCGCAAGCTGTATTTGAGCTTCCTTTAACGCGTTAAGATTAGGTTGTTGTTGAGGCATTGGTATGTAGAGGATACTTTGGTGGGGGCTTGGCAAAAGTGATTCGCTCGCCCGTTGATCCGCTCGCCCGTGGGGTACGTTAGTTATATAAGAGTTTAATAATTAACCTAATTAATAGCTAGCCTAATAACTATACTTGTCTCTTTATTAAATAAATATAATAGATTAAAATAGAGTAACGTAAGTGCATAGCGAGTGGACCGGCTAGGCGAGTGGACCGCCCCAACAAGCCATTAGGCACTCTGCAAGCAATTGCGCAACACCACAATGCTTTACTATAGCTAACAGTAGCAAATATTAATTGCTGACTTCTACTGCATCTTTCTCACACGTGCGCGAGTTGTGCCCTGCCTCACCGCAGCGCCTGCAGTGCCTTTTGTGCTGCTTGCCTGCACCTGTTCGAGCCCTACCCTCACGAGTTTCCCCCTCAAGCTGCGCCCCAACGTCGCGTTGGGCTATCAAATCCTCTGCCTGTTCCTTTGAGAGGTCTCCACCCTTCTGAATCCACTTTCTTTTGCGCGATTTGCGCTCAGAAGCAGCCCTGTTTGACGCTTCAAGCTGCAGCACTCGGGCGGCTAGTAACGTCTGTGAATGCAGTATCATTGCAGTGCCTTTTTGCAGCTAATCCATCATCTCAACTATAGGAGAAGGTGACGATCCTTGGTGCCTCTAAATACAATCGCGAAGCAACATTAATTGAGCCTCTATCTCATTAGCGTTGGTAGGTGTCTTAGGGTTCCATTGGGGCTCCCCTGTGAGAGGCGGTGTTGGCGTGCGACGCTTCACATCAAGCTTTAATAGCACTACCAATAGATCATTAGGCACTAAGCCAGTTGCTTTAAAGCTTGATATAATGTTTGCCTTTAAAAACGCCTTATCAAACACCTTCCTAAGGGTCGCGATGAAGGCTTTTTTGTCAATCCGGCCAATATGGTCCAGCGCCAAGACTCTAATCTCTTTGCTGTACGCCCGCTTTAGGGGGGCAAAACAACCCACATCAAGTGGTTGTAGGATGTAAGATGAGTGTGGAGGCATACATAGGGTAATAATCTTGCTCTCTGTGCAAAGATTTTGGAAAGTAAGCAACTTGTAGCTCTCGTAGCCGTCGATTATTAGCAGCACGTGGCTACCCACCCTCTGGCCCCGAATCTGCTCAACAAAGTGCCTTAACCAGGCTACTCCAATATCGTTAGTAGTCCAGCCGTTGTTACTGACCCCAATGCGCCATTAGGGCTTCAAATCAGGGTACCAGGACGCGTCGTGGTTCTTTGCTTTGAAGATAAGGTAGGGCGCAATTGCCCAGCCCATCGCGTTGACTGCAGCAATCAAAGTCACCCACTCACGGTCTCCCTGCTGGACCCCAATAGGTTAAGTACGTCTCTCAGATGCAGTAACTACTCTGACGCAATTTCCAACGCCCATAGTAAAGCCAGTCTCGTCAAAGTTGTAGGTATCTTCGTCCTAGATGCCGTACTTGGCCTTAACATTCCGTACTAGGTCAAACCAGGGCCCAATGACCCCTAGGTCGCTGCAGAGAACTCTCTGGCGATCCCTCTGTCGAGTTAATCGTGATTGGAGTCCAGGCTCGCGTTTGACAAAGTTTGAAGCCCATCAGGGGCCAACAGGCTCTGCATCGCGTGCAGCGCGCAATTAATTAGCCATATCTTCAACGCAATGGAGCGTTGAGGCAAGTCCTTGCTCGTCAAGCCTCCTTATATACTGCACAAGCGCCTTCTCTTCTATCTTATTAAGGGCTGATGATTTAGGCTGGGTATCGCGTGTTGACTGCCTCCCAGCGCGTCGCCAAAGGAGGGTTGTTTTTGACACCTGGTAGACAACAGCAGCGCGTCGCACGCTTAGTTCTTGGGGTTTCTTAATTGCTTAGAGTGCAAGCTTAATCCTGTCTTCTTTTAAGAGCGATTTGAGGTTATGTAGCTGATCCATTGAGGTTTGAAGGTTGGAGGGCCCAATGGCTTGTTGGGGCGGTCCACTCGCCTAGCCGGTCCACTCGCTATGCACTTACGTTAGCTTAAAACAGAACTATATATAAGCTAAGAGAGAGGTATTAGTTAGTTAAGTCCTCTAGAAAATCCTATTAGCCTTATTATTATATTATCTAGCTTTGTTTATCCCCTAAAGCTTTATATTTAGGCCCTTATAGGCATTCTAAGCTCTATGCTATAGGCCTATAAAGTTACTTAGGCTATTTAAGCCTAATAGGTATTAGTATTAGTTTCTAGGCATGCTGCTTGCCTTAATTAGGGTTAATATTACTAGAGCCTTTAAAGAGGCTGTACTATATTATAGTGCTTCTTAAGAGAACTAGGTTGCAAAAACTAAGGTGTAATTCTAATAATTAATTAGGCAAACCCTAGTAATAAGCAAATTGTGTTTAAGATTGCAGCTTGCTAGAGATGTTATAGCTTCTGCTAATACTAGTGTCTAAGTTGTGCATAGCAAGTAATAGATATGTAAGAAGATTGTGCTCTAATACTAGATTAAGTTTTAGCTGGGAGACGCTGCAGGTGAAGGGTCGCGAAGCCAAGTTTGTGCATAGGCTGCATCCCAGCGTATATCTAAATTATACCAAGAACCCAGCTATGTAGTAAGATTCAACTCGCGTGTGACAGTCTGGAGAAGACCATCGCAAGCGCCTGCATCACTGCAGAGCGCTTTGGAATGACTTGAGAGATGAGAATTTGGTGAAGTGAAGGAAATGATAGTGTTCTCGATGTCAGAATCGCTGCCGAATTCCTGAGAAAGTACGGCAAATCTCATCAACTCTTCTTCGTCGAGACCTTGAAGCATACTCAAGAAGTCGGGGTCAATTGTAGATAGAAACACAGGCGTTAAATTGATCTATTTAACTTCTAATGTGTTAATTCATGGTTTGTTGCTTGTCTCTAGAGATGTGATGAACTCACTAGAAGTTGCCTTTCCTTACAATGGAGACTTCTGGAAATTGATTGCATCCGTGATCCTCTAGTAACGGCTCTCCCATTATGCCTGCGAAAGTGTACTTCATCCATTCAAGCGCATATGCTGCCAGAATGCCAACTGACTGTTCTGGCGCAATCGTACCCAGCAGCTGCGCGAGCATCTCAGTGTTATTCTCTTTGACCGCCTGGAATAGCGTAGGTAGATCCGTCATGCCCTCGTGCGTCAGATTTGCAATCTCGACCCACAGCTTTGGACCGTTGAGCTTTGGCCAAATTGCTGTAAATCTAGGTTCCGAGCGCCTCGTGCCTACGTAGAGTAATGGCTGAGATAGTCCTGATGAGGGCAAAGAGCCAAAGAACGGGCCGTCCCAGTTAATGACACCGCGAATACGAGAGTCCTGGCTAGCGGCGAGCATAGCTGAGGCACCGCCTATGGAGTGACCAGCCATGACTATGCGGTCGGTTGGGACCTTTCGAGGAACAAGTTTGGCCATGGCGGTCGCATTGCTTAGTTGATCTATGATAAAAGATGCATCGGCGGCGCGGACGTATGCGTATGGAGTCTCGTCATCAATGTTCGTGGGATTTGGGAGGTCGACGTAGACAGCAGTACCATTAGGATAAGTTATACAACTGGTCTCTCCAGGGTGGTCCATAGTAATCACTGTGATGCCCTCACTGGCGATAGCGGAGGCAAGAAAATTATAATAGAGACGACTACCTCTGTAGCCAGGAGACAGGAGGAGGACAGGGGCGTCGTCTCGGGGCGAGTAATTCTTTGGGCACACTGGTTGGCGAGCCGTGGCGAAGAGGGGCGTGAGGTCGTAAGAGATGTTGTAATTCCTCTTAGCTAACGTTCCCTCGTATGCGGCGGTTCTGTTGGGCATGTATACGACAGGCACTGTGGATGTGCACGTTGCGGGTTGGAAGACGGAAAGCATAAACGTCCGGCTGTCGCGATTGTTGTCGACGATAGCTCCAGTCGTTATCGTAACGTTGTACCTTCCCGGCGGGCTTGGGATTAGGTACCCTGTACCAGTGGTGGCGAGCAAGAGAGGGAAGAACGAAATCTTAAAATGCATTTTCTTGAGTCTCTTTGTGACGCTTCGAATTCACCGACGAAAGAGGTGTCCAATGTGATGACAAGTCGTTCAGTGAGAAGATAGCCACCAGGAGTTATATATCTGGTGTTGAAGCTGTTTTGGGTTAGTAGTATACGAGCTTGTCCAGGTTCAAGATAGATCTTTCGTAGTTGAATTGAGGCCAAACCTCAGTACAAACCTACAAATCATCCTACCATGTTGACAGCCTATATTTATGGGGCTCCTGTTGTTTTGCATGCCGTCACTCAAAAGGTCATGGAGGGCTTCAAGATCCTCCTCAACGGTCCCCGAAAGGTGATGTACCCTTCAGGCCTTCCGTGCATAAGCGTGCCATTGCCACGTCATGTACAGCAGCCGACAATACAGTCAGCGTTGATCACTATTCTCTTCTCGTAGCCATGGATGGCGAGACTCGTTATGAAGCATGTTGCGTAACGCATGAGCCACATGTACTACTGGGATAACTGCACAACATCGTGAACAATTTGCCTTAGGCTTTACTTATTCGCTTTTCAACATGTCCAGTCTCCGTGTGCTGCGCTTCATACATCATGAGTATCTCTACCAAATCGGAGTGATCGGTCATCGTTGATGTGTAAAGTTGCGGTCTATCAAGCCCATATCTCGGCTGTGTTGAGTGGAGCTAGCACAAAAGGACTAGTGTCATGTACCTCGTAAGATACTAACCCGATATGATATATAGCGCTCTCGTTAACACGGCTTACTATCACAGTCATGATAGATGCTAAGGACAATTTTAGTATGGTCTGACTGATCGAGGATGGATCGAACAGTTCACGGTCAGGGTGGAGCGAGGTGTCAAGGGAAGCGCTGATCCGCCTCCGAGGTATTTGCGTCCCACCCTGCGGCGCGGTGCCACGCTGATTGCAAGTTCCTCATCTCTACCTCCAATTACACGCGTTGTAGACGGATTGAGAAAGACGAGCAAAAAAACAAAGCAACATACATCCACGATGGCACAATGATATCTGAAATTGCACTCACCACACCGCCATGGCAGACTCGCAACCGGCTTCTGCTTTACTCCGCCTGCCACGAGACCTCGACAAAACCTACATCTACGCGCTTCACCCGCCACGTCTACAAAGAAAAATCAAAACCACACAAGAGAAGCAAGACTCTTTAGGAAGACAACGGAAACTATCTTTACATTCACAATTGTAGGCGACTGTACGATATCAGCCTAGTGGTGGGCGGTATAGTGGGGGAGAAGTGTTCGATGACAACGGGTATCTGGTGCATGCTCTACGATTATCTGTCGCCCCCCAAGACCTCATAGACTTTTTCTAAAGCATTGCTTCAGGCGGACCGGGATATGCAGGACTGAGCAAAATCGTGTGACCGAGCTCCCGAAACTTGAAAGGCAACTTGCCCAGGCTGGAGATCCGTGACCGTTCATCGGGAAGAGGGAAAGCATGTAACCTTGAAGTCTCATCTGGGAGCCCCTGTTTGTCAAGCGTCCTTTCTTCCAACTCGATCACTCGCTTGGCAGTTACGTATGCATGATGTGCGTTCCAGATTCCTTCCCGCCGAGGCACTGACTGTAGCAAATTCAGTGCACGTCGTCGTATGGCCGGATGGCGACATTTCAGCGCGGTATCGTACAGTGGTGCAACGAGTTGTATCTCAAAGGACAAAAGCTGCGGATTTGCCGTTCCAGCGCCCGGCTTGGCGATGTTTTCCGCGTAATGCACAAGCTCTTCATAATCGTCGAAGTAAGAGTCCGCAACCATCTCTCCAGCTGTGGTGCAAACCCTTATCCAGATGTAAATGACTTTGTATTGTACCAAGAGAAGATTGATGGCGTTCTGTTTTTCAAGCTTGTCCACTGTCTGCATTCGTCCGGTAAGCCTATCCAATTGTTTGCGCCATGCATCTAGCCTTGACTGCAGTTTGCTTTGTTCAACGACATCATCAACGTTAATTGAGGATATTCTCGCCTTGGTGATTGCTTGGTTGATGTATCGGAGACAGACGTTGATGATACTGGTAAGGCGTATGCTTGAGTCGGCAAGATCTTCATGAGGGGAGTCGTCTTCAGTCGAAGGCGCATATATCGGTGGTACCATTCTCCCCGCGAGACAACAAAGTACATTCAACCGCGAGAAAACTGGTACTATGTGGTCGTCAATGCTTTTGAGATCATTGAACGAGAACATATTGGTGGCCTCGTTGCCATTGTGATAGCGTGTGGCTACAATATTTGAACCACTCTGAATATGAAGCAAAGCGGATTCAACGTTGCCCATAAGAAACTCGAATCAGATGAACAAAAGGCAGCAGACTAATGGCACCAGTTTCGAGTTAGGATGGGCTTGAATTCGAGATGAAAGATCTTTTATTGCGGCGTTGAAAGCCTGTCGAGCCTCGGGATTGGCATCAACATAGCCCGCAGGATGCTGCAATGACGATTCGATGTCTTGGAAAGTAATGCTGATAGCCGATATAGCACGTCGAATGGATGGTTCAGAGTGTGAGAGCTGCAATACAAGCCTGCTCCAGAAGCTTGAATCAAACTGCCCATCTAGAGTCGCGGCAATATTTCGATGGAAAAACTCGGTGCAGCGAGTGTTTGCGCAAAGAACCCGTTGGTTTTGCGCAGGAGGCAGATATACCGTGATTACGTTTCTCTGGGGTGGCGCTGGTGCGTTGCTGTATTCGCATTTCCGACTTCCGACAGCGCAACGTCGACAGGCTGGTTTTGCTTCATCGCATTTCACTCGTCTAGCTTTGCAAGTGGTGCATCCAGTCCGTACCTTGGATCCACATTCTCGAGTTCTCTTAGGCGCTGCATTCATGATTGATGTTCTTACTAGGTCACTTCATCGGACGCCTAACAATAACAATGCCAGGTTTCGTAATTTGCAACGCTAATCTTACTTCCCGGGGTGGCCGCTTAATGGCCCGCGCGGTAAGAGCCGTCGTTTGCGTTGGATTCCACGCATCTATCGCTTGGCAGAGCTCAAGTCCATGATCAACGCGCAGCGTTTGATCTTGCCAGTGTCCGAAGACATTTGGTGTACATGGTAGTGAAAATCCACGACAGCAAGGCAGGTCTGAGCCCAGAGGTGATGTGGGAGAAGCTGTCTCGGTGCAGGGGTACAGCGATGTCAATCTTGCACTTTGGGGGTCGTTTCCCAACCACGGAGTCTACACAGCCCTGTCAGCAGCAAGATGGGCGCTATGCGTCGGCAGTCAACATATAGCCACCTAGACACCTCATAGTTGCGTAAAAACCTCCCCCGTATTCGCCAGGTCGTTCGTCACCGGCGGTACCGTCGTCGCATGGCTTGAGAGGCACCTCGACGTCGGCGCAGTACCACCCTGCAATCTCGAGGTCTGCGTCCAAGTACGCATTATTTCCTCGCCCACGTCCTGGATAGCGCCGGCTCAAATCATCGTCGTGGATCTTGGCATCTTGCCGCCTGGTGCGTGTTTATCTTTTTTGCGCAGCCAATCGCCGCACCTTGAGGTCCGAACACCGTTCACACAACTCCACTCCACATCTACCTGTGGTCGCTGTTGCTACTACGTATTCTCAATTGTTCTTCGCACTCAGCATGAATTTTGGTAGTCCACCGTCTTTATCGCTAGCCTGGCGACTCCAATCCTTGCCCTCCTGAACGTCACGCCTTGGAGACGACGATCAAGATATACTTACGTAAAAGCCCTCAACCTTCATTCAGGTGCTGCGCCTTCCGTTCAAGCGTCAAGTTACTCGAGACATCGTTGTCTGTCGTGCACATGTCAGAACCAGCCTTAGCATCGCTTGCCGTTTCCAGGTCCTCCTTGCGGTATCTATATTAAACGAGCGGATTGCCACGAGGCATGTGTAGGCGCGAGTGCCCGTCACTCATACACTGTATATATATGTGAACTCAACGCCTCGTCCTCTTCGCACCCGGTCTTGCACGTCGATGCATCTGCCGCAGCATCTTCTTCCCACACCTGTTCAGTAGATCCCGAGGGAATGCTCGCTATCAACGCAGCATAATCAGCCGACAGCGCGAGCGTTGCCTAGTATATTGCGGCCGTTGTCCTCGTATCACCAACGTGGATGATGGCAGCAGACTCTTGTCTGACAGTGCAAATGCCATAACGTTATGATAGATTGTTCGTATAATCTTCAGTATCATACGACAGCAAATAACAATGCTATCAGCTAGCACAGCAGAGCGATTTCAGGAGGCACCACGAGCGAGATGGCGTAACACACAAGCGGAGAGGGAGAAAGCGAGTGGAGATGTATAGACATGCTGACAGACATGACATGCAGCAAAGAAAGCCGTGGCAGTGCGCGAGCCGAACCCTACATAGACCAGTCGCAACGGTCAGACCAAGCTAGACGGGCAACGAAAAGCGGCCGGGATGTAGCTCCAGCAATACGACAGCGGAGTCGGAGACAACAGAGCCGGGGATAACCAGGCCGAGTTAAATGAGGTAGACGGCAGGGAGAACGTCAAACCGGCAAAGACGTGGCGAGTATCGCAGCGCAGCGCAGCGCAGCGTAATCAACCGCAATATTGCTTCGAGACTGGTGTCAAGCAGCTCGATGGAGACACGTTTCATGCTGAACTAGTGCGTTTGCTTTGTCTTTCCTGTCCCGACAGGTGCCTGAGTAAGTAAAGCTGCACGAACTGCGCAAGAAATGGCCTTCTAACAGTCTTCACAAGCGCCACGCTCCCCGTCTGCTGCAGAAGGGGCTACTGATTTGCGGCTCTGGACCAGGTCTAACGACGCCATACTTTGGATTGGATTGAAGTATGAACTCAACGCAGGCGCATTGGGAACCTGTGGGAGGCTACAGCTCAGCATGCGTCTCTCAGAGCAGGTCAGGCCCGCCCGGACTCACTTGCTTCGTCGCCGTCGGTGTTGTATTTGATAGTGGATACAAGTACTAGCGCGGCGATTCTCTCTACACGAAACTTGCGAGGCGAAAATATCCTGATCGTCTGGACCATGGCGCTATTTGGAGGGGTGAGGTCAGCGAATTCGCCCCCACATATCTGTATGGAATCGGCGCTGCGGTCGTTGTCATGGCGGTGCCTTTCCTTCACAAGCGCCAATCGCTCAACGCCAGTCAAGCAAGATTTAACCAGCCTGCTATCATTGCCCCGCCCTGCCAACCTTCCTGCTCCACCGATTTATCTAAAAAGTCCCACAGGGACGTTGTTTGGAGCCAGTCATTGCTGTGTATCTGAGCTAGCGGCTGTACGGACATTGCGCAAACGCACGCCGCTGTCCAATGGCGCTCAGGGTGACAGCTCTTGCACCGTGTTCTTCTCACTTCCGCAGCAGTAAGGCCCTGGCGAGTCCGAGAAGGACGAGCTTCAACCCTACTATAGCATTCAGTGCATCTTCGACGCATACTACATGCGCTCTCCACCCACGTCAAAGTCTTTTTTGCTTTTTTTCAAGGTGACAACTGGAAACATACTTGCACACACTCAATCTTTCAACTGCAATACCCGCACCGTCGTAGATGTCCCGTTATTACAGTTCTAGGCGTCCTGGTCGGCGGCAAACAATGTACAAGGACTCCTCCATCACCGCTTAGAGGTCGACCCAAAGATCCCATTTTCCCCAGGCTTGAAGCAGTATTTGAGCCATTTCAGCCACAACCAGCAATCCCTTTCTACGAACCAAATTGGCAAATAGAATAACTCTGATAATGGTTTGGATCACATCGGCCTCGGCAAGACATGCCTTGTTCCACAGGCACTTGTGACAAATGGTTCGAAGGTGCTTAGCAAGCCTCGATCTGATATTTGCATTGGCTTCGATCCGCTAAAGCATGCATTGTTTAACACTCTAGTCTTGTTCAAAAGGGAAGATAAGCAAGTTCTCCTAGCCTTTGGTTCGAGTGTGTTGCTCTAAAAGGGGTTCCTATCCTCTACAAGTTAAGACAAGATAGGTAAATTAAACACAGCATCTAAACAAGCTGCTCTATTCTACTATTACTATACTCTGCTAGTATTCTAATACTATAATTATATTTTAGGACTTTTAAAAAATTAATAGTAAAAGTAAAGTTATTAGGCTAAGTATTAAAGACATTTATAAAGGTAAAATAAAGGTTTCCTATTATATAAGTTAATAAGTATTAACGTGAGTGCATAGCGAGTGACGCAGTCAAGCGAGTGACGCACCCCAACAAACCATTGGGCCTTCCTACCTTCAAACCTCAATGGACCAACCACCTGACCTGGAATCGCTCCTAAAAGAAGACAGAATCAAGCTTGCACTTCAAGCAATTAAGAAACCTCAAGAGCTAAGCGTGCGACGTGCTGCTACAGTGTACAGGGTCTCTGAGGCAACCCTCCGCCACCAACGCGCTGGGACGCAGTCAACACGCGATACCCACCCTAAATCAGCAAATCTTTAGAGGACAGAGCAGAGGACACTTATGCAGTATATTAGGAAGCTGGATTTCTAAGGATTTGCCCTAATGCTCTATTGTGTTGAAGATATGGCTAATTAACTGCGCGCTGCACGCGGCGCAAAGCCTGTTGGCCCACGATGGGCTTCAAACTTCGTTAAACGCGAACCTGGACTAAAATCGCATATGACTTGACAGAGAGATCGCCAGAGAGTCTTGTGCAGCAATCTAGGGGTCATTGGGCCCTAGTTTGACCTGGTTCAGAATGTTAAGGCTAAGTACAGCATCCTGGATGAAGATACCTATAACTTTGATAAGACTGGCTTTACTATGGGCATTAGAAACTGCGTCAAAGTAGTCACTGCATCAGAGAGACGTACTGAGCCTATTGGGTTGCAACAGGGAGACCGTGAGTGGGTAACTTTCATTGCTGCGATCAACGCGATAGGCTGGGCAATCGCGCCCTACCTTATCTTCAAAGCAAAGAACCATAACGCGTCCTAGTACCCTGATTTAAGGCCCTAATGGCGCATTAGGGTCAGCGACAACAGCTGGACTACAAACGATATTGGTGTAGCCTGGTTAAGGCACTTCATTGAGCAGATTAAGGGCTGGAGGGTGGGTAGCCATGTGCTGCTGATAATTGACGGCCACGAAAGCTATAAGTCGCTTGCATTCCAGGATCTTTGCAAGGAGAATAAGATAATTACTCTGTGTATGCCTCCACACTTGTTGCACATCCTGCAGCTGCTTGATGTGGGCTGTTTTGCCCCCTTAAAGCAGGAGTATAGTAAAGAGATCAGAGTCTTGGCAACAGACTATATTGGCTAAATTGACAAGAAGGCCTTCATTGTAACGTTTGCAAAGGTTTTTAAGAAGGCGTTCTTAAAGGCAAACATTACATTAAGCTTTAAGGCAACTGGCTTAGTGCCTAATGACCCATTAGTGGTGCTATTAAAGCTTGATGTCAAGCTTCGGGCGCCAACACCACCTCTACCAGGGGGGGCCTAATGGAACCCTAAGACACCCACCAACGCTAACGAGATAGAGTCTCAATTAACGCTGCTTCGCGATCGTATTCAAAAGCACCAAGGATCATCACCAACTCCAATGGTGGAGATTGTTAATCAGCTGCAGAGAGGCACTGCAATGCTACTACATGGGCAGACGTTATTGGCAGCCTAAGTGCTGCAGCTTGAAGCATTGAACAAGGCTGCTTCTGAGCGCAAATCACGTAAAAGAAAGCAGATTCAGAAGGGTGGAGACCTCTCAAAGGAACAGGCAGAGGATTTGATAGCCCAACGCGACGTTGAGGCGCAGGTAGAGGGGGAAACGCGTGAGGGTAGGGCCTGAACAGGTGCAGGCAAGCAGGGCAAAAGGCACTGCAAGCGCTGTGGTAAGACAGGGCATAACTTGCGCACGTGTAAAAAAGATGTAGTAGACGTTAGCGATTAAGGATATATCTTGTTAGCTACATTATAATGTTGTGGTGTTGAGTAATTGCACGTAGAAGGCCCAATGGTTTGTTGGGGTGCGTCACTCGCTTAACTGCGTTACTCGCTATACACTCACGTTATAGTATTATAAGCAATATAGAATACTTTCTCTTTATTTTTAGTATCTTTAAACTACCTATAGGTAACTAGGTCTATTATAATTATAAAGATTTGAAGAATAGGAATAACATACTACTTTAGGCTAATAGAAGAATAATAAGATAGTTATAGTATCCTTCTACTATACTATCTTGTCTAACTATCTACTGTCGTCTAACTTATATACAATCTTATAGCCTGATATCTTCCCATCCCGATGTTTTTGGAACCCCACGGGCACTGATTCGAGTCCGTCCAATAGCTCTGGCACGCTTGGCTTGATGGTTCCTGTTTCGAGCCAGTTCGGCAGGTTTTGAAACAGTTCAGAAGCCAGTTCATGGTCATCTTTGCTTGCCTGGGGCGCGTTAGCCGGAATACCAATTTATCCTCACCCTCCCTTAGCTTCCTGCTTACCGGCCAAAAGAAGTCACCGTATCGGTGATCTTTCAGGAATGCTGTCCATACAAGGACATCCGTAACCTTGGTTCGTTCCGTCACACCCTCAGTGTCTGCTTTGCCCGGCCGTACCGTGCAAAGCACCCCTCCTTGCTCGCCGATGACTTGCGAAGCTGTAGCGGATGACTGCGAAGCTCCGATTGTATCGAACACATAACCTAGACCAGGCACTGCCTTTTTGATGGATGAGACAACATCCTTAGCTCGGTAGTCAAATGCGTGATCTGCACCCAATGACTTGACGCGATCGAAATGACGAGGGCTGCAAGTAGTGACGACTTTAAACCCGTGCAGGGCTGCGAACTGTATGGCGTACAGCCCAACGCTAGCTAAATGAAGCGTTATCAGACAATGCCGCTGCAAGTGAGACTGGTATGAATACATACAGCTCCCTCCCCATACCAAGATGGTTGTCTCTTTTCCTGACCGACGGTCCACGTGCAGGCTGTCCTTGGAGAACAGCGCCAACCAAGCCGTTGTGGAGGCCAAGGGCACTGTCGCAGCTTCAGCAGGCGTGATGGACTGCGGCACCTTGAAGCTGATGGACTCGTTGGCGATGGAGTACTGGCTGTACGCTCCCAGCCCTCTGATCTCCCCTGCTTCTGTCAACCAGTGTGTAGCATGACCAACCTGGTTCTCTTACCTCCCCAGACTAGACCTGCGACCACGTCACCCTTGGCTGCTTTCGTCACCTCTTCGCCAACGTCCTCGACAGGGCCGACAAAGTCACAGCCTAAGACTGCTCCATCCCCAAAAGCATTGGAATCGAGACATTGCACTGCGACCAATCAGATGGAGACCGACGGTCTGCAACGCAAGCTAGGGACCTACCGTCTGTCGGATTCTGTCCCGCGTGCGATACCTTGACCAGCAGCTCATGGTCAGCTGGCTTGGGTGCTGAGATGTGCTCGACAACCAGTCTCGGCGTGTTTTTGGTCCCAAGTCGTTGAACCAGCGCGAGTACTTTGTCGGGCATTGTGATTGATCTCGATGCGCCAATTCGTGTAACCAGTAGGGAGCTGGGCTGTGCAGTGCAAGTGAGCTGTCACACGGCGAACGAGGTTTTAACACTTTGTGGTGCCAGCGACGCTCGATGACATACGTCATCTTAGAAATCATAAGGTCCTGTCATCGTGATGCTGTCTGGACGAAGGACGCGAGATCCACTGGATGCTTAGAAATCCAGTACTCCCGTCAAATGCAAATTGCGCCTACAGCTTCCTCCTCGATCATCGTTACTGCTAGCCAACCAGGTCACTCTTTCGGGCAGCAAGTCCGATGCAAGGGAGATAGCCTCGCCCCTGCTGCAGTCCTGCCCATCAACAGAGACGCGGTGACAGCCGAAGAGCGATGAGATGGCTAAGCCAATTAGTGAGTATCAAGAGACACAGCCTGCTGCACTCAAAATCATCCACAGCTGGTCAACCGGGGAGAGCACTGGCGACCATCGGCAGCTCCTCAACACATCGCTGTAGCTACCTGAGCTGTTGGAGAGTACGAACCCTGAGCTGCGTGCTGAGCTGCGTGCTGAAAGCACCGGTCGAACCAACAGCTGGTGAACGAGCGCTTACCGTGTGCATGGTGATTGCTGTGGAGCCTGTCGTGCCTTTTGGTCGTGAGGCAACCGTAGCCGCCGGGCCCGTTTAGTGGGCCGCCTCACCATGTGGGTTTTGGCCGAGCTCAGCCCCAATCTGGAATGTGTAGCCACCGGTTATCGATCTTGGTCCGGTCGCAGGGCTCTTGCACGAACGCAGTCACTTTTGCGACTACAGACTCGGCTTCGAAAAAAGTCTGGATCGAGCCGGCCGTTCGCATGGCTCGCTCCGTTGCTTCTGAGCTGAAAGTGACATTCAGCAATGAGTTCTGTCCCATCGAAGGGGAAAACGCTTGTGCGTCATACGCAAAGAACAAAGACGGACGAGCCCGTGGCATAGCCTCCGTGAGGCTCAGGTTGATAATCGCAGGCCAAGGCCGAGCGCGAGTGTGTTTCATGAAGGCGCTATGGACGCACGCCGCAACGCACATGCAAGCATTTCGTACAACCAGCTTCCCTGTCAGAGCTGTCCAGCTCTCGAGTAAAGCTCCTAGCGCTAGCCGCGTCACAAATGCGCCCATCTTTGCACCTGTACACTGCCTTCGAGGCCATCACTCTGGTCGTTCGAGCTTTTCTTATCAAAGAGCGAGAAATCACTCGGTTGCATCAGTTGATCTTTCCAGCGTGCAACACCTCGACGCATTGCTGCATCTTTATATCAACCTTCCTGCGTTGTTCATCAGAACTGGGATTTTTGATCGATTATGACTCCGCGTAGGGCGCTTCTGTCGGACAAACTTCCTTGAAATCTCGCAGGCTATCGCCTAGCCCAAGCAGTGACAAGTCGTCCATCTCTATTGGACAAAGGTTCTCCCTTGTCTCATTGGGATTGATCTAACGGCATAGAAGTACGCTGCCAGAAAGATGCCTTCCTTTACTCGAGAAATCCCCGAACGCAATCACTCGCAGTGCCGGAAAGCCCGATACCCTGCCATGGGTCGGTAAGTGAGCCACTTTGTGTTCTCCACTCATCTTATCAGCTTCCAAGCCAGGACCGCCAAAGGTGCCTTTCAGAACATAGCTCTTCCCGCGAATGCTTGGCAAAACGCCCCAGCTTGGGCGCTTCTGATAATCTGAGCCTGACTGCCGTATGTGCAACACACGTAATGGGTGCCTTGTCGTCAGATGAGGAAGAACATGCTTATGTCCGTGTTCAGTCTTGTTCAACTGGTCAGGCAGTCGGTATCATCACAAACTAGATGTTGAGGAGCGCAAGCGACGCCGAAGTAGGTCAAGATGAGTTCCCTCAACGGATTTCGTGATGGGTCTCAAGGACAGCCGGGCGCTTCGGTACCCTCATGAAGCTAGGGACGTCACACTCGTCTCCATCAGCGTCGACAGCCCGTTGGTGGTGGACAAGTCTCCTCAGGACGCTTTGTGATGAACAGCAGCACGCCATATGTCTAGTGATCTTGGGTGGCTGGATGCGACGAGAAGCTCTTCGAGCCCATCAAACGCAGCCAAGAATCTTGCCAAGTCGTCTCATGGTTCTGCCTCGTCATACTCGAGCCCGTGCTGAAGCTCCAGTGACTTCCATCTGATGGATTGGCTCGACTGGCGTACGCTTTGGAAGGATGTTTCCTTAGCTAGACGCTGCTTAGGAATACAGAACATAGATTGGCTCAGATCGAATCAGAAAAAACAGCAGTCGACCAAACCCGCTTTTTCCAGATCCTCACTAGCAGCGAATCCACTGTCTGACAAAAACTGCCACGGATTTAAGCGATGGTAACCAAGATGCAAGTATTTCCAGCAGAAAAAGGAAGTGGACGCGGTGGCGGCTACCTAGCAGCGTGCTTCAGATGCCGCCGCTCTTATGTGGGGCTCTACAAGTCTCAGTGGAAGAACAGATGCACCAGCGGTTGGTGCAAATAGGTCTTTGGAATAACGAAGGGAAGCTCTCAAGAGCGTTACTAGCGGCAGACGATAGATTAACGCACAGCTCCAGCAAGCGCAAACGGAGGAGGGCGGTCGCGTAGAGTCTTTCGTATCACAAGTCCTGATTCGCGTTTTGCATTTCATCGCATCCTATCACGTTGCCTCATACTATGATCGTTTGGCTCTGATCCTAGCTAGGTGGGCACCGAGAGGTGATAACACCAAGCTGCTTGCGCGCGATGACCTTTGTTGTATGGAAGCATACTTGCTTGGACTTTGAATACAACGTGTTAAAGGCTCAGATCAGTTTTCGTATGTGCACATGGCAAGGCCAGTCGTTCTCGCCGTAGTCGACAATCGATATGTAGGACACAAGGCAAATTTTGTGTGGTGATAGAGAGCGTCGTAGTTTGCCTGCGCTAAGTATTCCTTGAAGTCTGGACCAATGCACGATGCCTCTACCTGCTGTGCTCAGTACTTTGGGGGTAAGTAAGACAATGAGCCTCCAAGCCTTTTATTCGAATCACTAGTCCAATTCAATCCTATTCCATCTGCTTTTAAAAAGTAGACGGTTGGAATGTAGAGTGGGTTACTCTTCGTCGCGCAGTTCTGGACAGTTGTCGTTACCACTGCCTAATGATATGGTGTCGGTTGACTGACCTGCGAAGCTAATCTGTCAGCAATCAGAAGTACCGGCACCAGAGAGGCGTAAAAATCCAGTTTTTCGATGAACCTGACAACGCTATTTGTGGTCACGGTCCTGAAATAAGCAAGGATCATGAGCACAGTCAATCGCTCGATTGGACCGATCACTTCATGGTTTCAGATTTCATCATGACAAGCTGATATTCTGTTACATCTTTTCATTAGTTCACTGGAAGAGGATCATCGATATGCCATAATACAGTGTGACACTCGTGTGCTCGCATTATAAACATGGCACGCCTGCACATGCATCGCTTGTCAATTTGGAAGAAAAAAATGGCGTGGGGTAGGGTAAAGATTGCGTGCGCCACAGTTAGTGAACGGGACTATTAAATAGTCTATCGTTATGGAGAAGCAAGCGGATTCACCCTGTAAAACGCGAATACGACACACCAGGGCCCGTACATGCGGGTTCGTCTCCGTTTTCGACGGGCAAGAGTGGTCAGGTAAGTAAAGCTGTACGAAGGGTGACAGTATCAGTCGAGGGGGTGCCACCCGATGATTGAACGTAAGCCGCTTGCTTCCCTGTGCAACACCTCGTAAATCTCGCGCCGATGACCACCACACTACTGATAAAGATTAGATAACATGCAAAATGCAACCATCGTATGCCCTCCAAAACACATTCTTGACATGATCATGAGCTGCGAGGGCTGTCACCTTGGGCGCAGCTGGGGCTAGTTGTGGGCATGATGAAAGAGAATATGGACGTCGTGTCTGGAGAGACGCGCACAGGACAAACACGCGACGAAGGAGCAATTCCGAATGGACTACTCTCCATTGTCGCGATCATCCTTCCGTTTGGCATCTCACGAAGCGTCATTAATAAAGAACAATGGCACCTTGTTTCCATGATTCCAACGTGTTGTGCGGCCGCCCGACTCTATCCTTGAACTGCTACACAATCACGACTTATGTACCCATCAGATATTTCCACCAACGATTGTTGAAACGGCTGTAGGGCATATGGTCGGTGGATAGAACACACGTGGTCTATTTGGACGTGACGAAGTTGAATCGAGATGTTGGAATAGACACGATCATCGTTCTAGCTTTTTGACGCTTTATGAGAGCAAGATCCGTTGCTTAAGAAATGAAAATACTCTTCCCGTTTCCCTGGTCAAGACACATCTGCTAAGCCGCCTGCAAACACTCAGGAGATTGTCGCACTGCAGGAGGTCCCAACCCATTTCCTGACATGCTTCGGCTTCGTTCTTAGCGGCTCTTAACCTCCCAGCTGTGGCATTATGCACCCACGAGTGAGGCATAGTAACCAAATTTGTTGTAAGGATCGAACTCTGCCTTGATTTTCTGAAGTTTTTGGAGGCGGGCAGAGTCTCGACCATAGACTTGTGCAAGCTCTTCACCGCCAATGGCATAGTTGACGTAAGAGTGAGCAATCTCCCCGTTCCGACTGGCTGCCTGCAGCCTCTGTCCAAATTTGCGGGCTATACCGAGCTTTGTCTTGTTGTCTCCCGTCCAGAAGATGAAGGCAGCCAACATGTTATGCTTGTTACGTTCCTCTGGTGCAACGGCATTGAAGTCATCAGCGAACTCACGCACACCCTTGCGCCCGTAAGACTCAAAGATGAAGGTGGAAGTGTTGTAGGCTTCGATTGCCACGAGATCGGCAAAGATGTTGTAGCTTTCTCGCATGGACGCAGGATCCCAGCGAGTGACGGAGTTGACGTAACCAGCCCAGTTCTGACTTGGAACGCAGACTCGATCGTCACGACCGAAATTTGTGATGTCGAAGAGTTTGTTCCAGTATATGTCAGTAACAGTCTCCTCGTGCATGGGCTTGATAGCACGATAGGCGTCAATGTACTGGGAAGCGGCAGTATCGTAACCCTGGTAGATAAGCTCCAGCACGAGAAGAGGCTGTGACGCGGTTGGTAAGCTAAGTCGACGGGTATATGATCAATACGAATTTCTCACCTTCTTAGTATCGAGATCTGGTAACATACGATAGTAGCCGTTCAGTACAAGAAGCCCGGGATCTGCGATGATATCTTCTAGCTGGTTCCATGCTTTGAAGTACTCCTCGATCCGATCAGCTTCATATACGAATGTCATGAAACTCCACGGGTCTGGGTGGATGTCGTAAACCTTCACCTCGAACTCAAGAACGATGCCTAGGTTGTGACCCGCACCACGGAGGCCCCAGAAAAGGTCGACATTCTCGTTTTCCGAGGCTGTTACAACAGTGCCGTTGTGAAAGGCAACTCTAGCGGAGACCAGGTTGTCAGCAGCAAAGCCGTGAGCACCTTGTAGTACACTATGGCCTCCACCAAGTAGAGGACCCATGATTGAGACGCATTCGCAGAGACCGTGGACTAAACGACGTCCGTTCGTCAGCCAATCCATTCGCCTCCCTGCCATGGTGCATATGACGAGTGCATGGGAATACTTACCAGCTTGCTTTCCATCTTGGTACAAAGCTTGGAGAACCTCGTATTGGATGACGCCACCGCCGGCATAGGCAGTATCTCTGCTGGGTCCCAGAGTGACATGATTAAGGCCACGCATGCGAATCTGTATTCCGTCTTGGATTCGGCTGATGTCGTCGGTCCAGCCATGCGTGCCGGTGACAGCTAAGAACGGGACTCCGATTTCATTGGCGATTTTGATCTGTTCAGAAAGTCAGCACACATGAACTCCGTTCTGGTTCAGCGGGACGCATGCCGTTTGAACAACATCGTCTTCGACGGCCACGTCAACAACAGCCAGGTAGCCCGGGTTAACGCGAGGAGCGGCAGCACGGTGAGTGACATCAACCCATCGATCAGAGTTGGGAAAGATAATTGAGGCGCTCTCCGAGAGCTGAGAGGTCAGAAGTTGTTTAATCTGCGCTAATTTGACCTCCGTGGCGTTCCTAGGGGGCACTGCAGCCTTAATGATCAGAGCAAAGCTTCCGCCCAAAAGGATGTGCAGAATCTTCATGATTTTAATTGCTTTGTCTGCTGCTACAGTGATGTTGGAAATAATTACCTGTCGAAAGGTATTAGTTAAACGACAGCCCGACTTTATAGACATTGAAAACTGGGGGTCGACCATACCAACATTGTTCCCACTTCTCTATCTCTATCAGACCGGCGTGAAGGCCTCGACCACGTACAGCGAAGCGTTCACGGACCTGTGACTGGCTGCAGAGCATTTACTGCAGTGCAAGTCCCGCCTTCATCACCAAACATGCCTAGGTCTTACATAGTCAGCAGCGTGTCAATGCGGCTTGCTCAACATACCTGTCTTCACGCTTTGGCGGGTAAACGACCAGCCTGCACTAATGATAAAAAAGAGCTAGGAAGCGGCCCGCTGCCTACTCCCGCGCGGACAACCCATTTTCAAGCTCAAGCCAGCGTTGAGTCTCAGTAGATACCAGAGATCAAAGTTTCTTGTTCTGCAAGATTTATCCTCGTAATCACCAGTTGCGACCCTGCGACGCAAAGAGGGATGAATGATTTACGTGACACGGCAACAAGGGAATCATCTACTCCGGTGAACGTAATTAGAATCGAACCTGACTCGCCCAGTGAGCGTGTAGGGTGTGTCACGCTCCGGAAAGCGCTTTTCCCGGTTGCACACGTCAGAATCGCAGCAGGGCAAGAATTTTCCCGAGATCCTTCAAGTTGCTGAAGAGCCCATGCAAGGGGGTCTGCGCATGTTCGCAGTTTCTTAAGGAGCATATCGAGTCATGAGTGGCATAACGCACGGATCTTGTGTGCGAATGCCGCATTGGCGCTTGTAGTTGCCTTGGGAAGCATCACTTACATCTCAAGTGACCCGCTAGGTTAGAAGCGTCTTCGTCCCACAACGACGCGCCGACGCATGCGCGAGTTCTATCTTATCTACACAGTAGAGAAGTGGAGCTATCTTCCCCGTCGCACAAACAGCGGGATGCATTGACGCAATTTTGGCGCGCTGGAAAAGAACGCGTATCGTTTCTTCCGTTGCGAACGCACGTCCCAACGAAGGGAAAGAGCGAACTCAAGCGACCCTTTCCATTTGCTGTCGCATCGAGAATAGTTGCCCAAACTGTGAATTAGGGAGAAGCCCCTAATTTAAGGCCGGTCGCGCGAGAGTGAGCAATGTGGCAAGATCCTGCACAGGACAAAGAACGAAGCATAGGTATCTAGTCGATCCTAGAGGCTTTGAGAAGGAATGGCCATTGCCGATTCGCATTCGTGCGCCCGAAATCGCCATGAAACTCTGTATTGTTGGCAGGATTAGCCACCCCGGCCCCACTGTGCATTCGGGCCGTTAGTCTTGGCGCCATTGAACATAGCAAGCTGAAGCGCAACCGCCTGGTGTTGTAAGATTGAGTTTACAGCCCTCGGTGTCGCGGTACGTAGGCTTGATGTGCTGTAGCTCCGCAATCTCGTCATCGGCATTCCACGGATTCTGTGTTGCCAGGCGCTATCGTCTGTTTATGATGGATACAAGATCTTGCACCCATCCATACGGCTGGCGACCCAAAAGGTCAAGCTACCGCTCTTGACCTCTCGACAGCTTACCAAAGTTCAGCTTGGTGTGATCTCGTGGCAAAGCGCAAACATGCTCAAACTACCAATACCCACAGAGAGCCTCCGCTACAACGAACCTGTGCCATTCCGACTCCAAGTCGACAGAGAGCTCCTCGACATCACCAAGCGAAAGCTTGCTCTGGCGCGGTATCCTGAGGAGCAGACTGATTTCGGCGAGCATGACTGGACGCAAGGAGCAAAAGTCTCCTCAGTACGAGACTTAGCCGATTATTGGCGGGAGAAGTATGACTGGGAAAAGCAGGAGGTGAGTTTGGAACAAATCCGTCACAAGTCTGCGCATACGGTGCACGGTCGACGCACTGCGAGGCTTCCCAAACAAAATCGCTAAGAGGTGCAGAATGAACTCAACAGCGTCTTCAACCATTTCCTTGTCAAGCTGAATGTGCCCGAGTATGGCCCGCTCGTCATCCACTTTACCCACGCTCGATCCTCCAAGCGAACGGCCATTCCCCTGCTTTACTCCCACGGCTGGCCTGGCTCCTTCGTGGAGGCTGTCAAGGTCGTTGAAGAGCTCAGCAGTCCGAAAGACAACAACGTCCAGGCTTTTCATGTCGTGGCCCCCTCCATACCGGGGTTCGGCTTCTCCCCTGCGCCGCTCAAGTCTGGCGTTGGTCCGAACATCGTCGCTCGAGCATATCATATCCTGATGACGGAAGTCCTTGACTATCGGTGGTTTGCCACGCAGGGTGGTGATTTTGGATCTTTCATCACTCGTTCGGTGGCCATACAGTATCCTCAGTCGGTGGTTGCGCAACACCTCAACATGTTTCCTGTTCCTCCGCCGACTCTATGGACAGCGCCGCTTGCCTACATTCGCTGGACACTCAGCAGCGTCCTGTATTCCCAATTCGAGAAGGATGCGTTGGAGATAAGGCGGAATTTTGAGATTGATCAGAGTGGCTATCTTGAACAGCAGAAGACACGCCCGCAGACGTTGGGTTTTGCCCTCGGAGATTCTCCTGTTGGTCTCCTCGCTTGGTTTGTGGAGAAGTTTCACGACTGGGTCGACTGTCATGACGCATTCTCCAAAGACGACATCATCACACTGGTCATGATGCATTGGATTCAAGGAGCGACGCCCGGTCTGAGATTCTACTGGGAAGCGTTCGGTCGCGGCATGCGCGAAGCCGAGAGAACGTTCGAAATTTACGTGGCCGCTCCCACGGGAGTGAGCATGTATGCGAAGGAACAGCTCCATGTAGGTCCCAGGCCCATTCTGCGTCCAAAGCAAAAACTGACTGTGACATAAGTGTCCAAGAGACTGGGCCACACAAGCAGCCAACGTCTGCTTCTGGCGAGAGTACCCTCGAGGTGGTCATTTCTCGACGTTGGAGCGCCCTGATGCATTTGTCAGAGACATGAGAGAATTCTTCACCATGTCGACTGTACAGGCCGCGATCAAGCGTCATGTTGCTCTACAGTCAAAGCATGCATGATCGCAATCCTCCAAAACCTATACCATGCGCGTTGCGTGCCCACTAGTCCTCCGCAAGTTTCCAAGATGGAAGGAAAGTCTTCTTGGCGCCTACGTGCCCCGTACTGTACGGTGCACCCAAAGTGAAAGAGAGTAGCTTGTGCGCGCCGAGCCGACTGCAACAGCTAACAGACAAACGAAACTGTCACAGTCGAGGTCAAAGTCGAAGTCAAAAAGGTGAACTCATGAGATCTGAACTCCCGCATTATATAGCAGTAACTTTATATGTCGATTGCACGGCCTAGTACCATTGCACGCACGTTGACCCTGTCCCTGCAGAGACTTTGTCAAGTGTTGAACGGATGATGTGAGGCTCATCCCTGTCTACGATTGTGTTATGTAACTATCGAGCATATTTATTCTATCAATCTTAAGCGATTTCATGCACAACAAGCCCAAGGATCAAGCACTACGAAGTAGAGAGCCGCACTACATTTCCCCGGTGAAACGGGAACACAGATTGATGTCAGCAAACTTTGCACGCCTTTGTTCTGCTATGAGAGACAGCTCGTGTAGCCCTCCTGACCTTTCACAGCGACGAATCTGGTTCTCTGGTGCCGGCGTGCAGAGTACAGAGCGGTAAAGTCTCACCCTTCCACTCATCCGTCGCCATTGCTTTACTCTTTTCGTCCCTTGAATAAGTGAGCGGGTTGCTCTGCTACAAAGGCACACATGGCGAAGCTCAGGTCAGTCCCTCCGCAAAAGAAGCGTATGCGTGACGGCGCAAGCGGCAATGATCAGTCGGTCCCGTTGGAGAGATTGAGCAAAGATACGCGGAACGCAAGCCGATCACCCGCCGAGATCTATCTTTTTGCAATGTCAAACATGGCTAAAATAAGCGCAGGCGCTGTTGCGATCACTACTAGCGTACGACATCCGTGCATCAAGTAGCGCCGATGTTTCAGCGCCTGCGTGCGCCCCACAGCTGGCTCGCCGAAAACAGCATGAGGTCTACCGAGCAATCGCTACCCCAGATTCTAGTCGACCCCAGACTGCGCCCCGGACGGGTGGTGCGCCGTGGTCTGCGTAGACTCGAAAGCTGCCCCTCAGCCGAAAACCGCCACTATGCATGGCTGCCACGAGCCTCCAACTCGGAGGCTATGGTTTCCATTTTGGAACAAATCGTCAATTGCTTGCAGAGCACCAGAGAAACTGCAGCTCGTATAAAGCAATTGTTCGTCTTGCACACGTCGCAACGGAATAAGCGAGTTCTTGTCAACATACCTCTCCAGACCCAGGCACTCTCACCATTTTAGCCACTTTCAACGTTCATCTGCAGCCTCAAGCTACATCATGCGCTCCTGGCTTGGAACCGGAAAGTCCCTCCAGTTTGGAGTGACAGTGTGCTGTCTGATAGCTTTCGTCCTGTTCGGATACGACCAGGGCGTGTTCGGAGGAATCCTGCAGAACAAGGACTGGCTCGATCAATTCGGTCACCCATCCGACTCCAAGACAGGTATCATCGTCAGCTGCTACAACCTAGGATGTCTCGCTGGCTGCGTTCGTAAGTCAATTTGTGCTCCACGGTTGACCCAATCCGAGGCTGACAGGCGCAAAGTAAATTTCTTCTTGGGTGAGACGCTCGGTCGACGCAAGACAATCTGGGTGGCAATGGGGTTCGTCATAGTCGGTGCCACCCTGCAGACTACCGCCTTCACTGTCCCTCACCTGGTCATTGGGCGCGTCATCACCGGGTTCGGTACTGGACTCAAGACATCGACAGTTCCAATGTAAGTGCATCCTTGCCGTCCACACGCCAACTCCAGAAGGTCACGCGCTGACGAATCGCGTCAGGTATCAGGCAGAGCTCTGCGATAGGAAATCACGCGGCCGTCTGGTGTCGGCTGAAGTCCTTTTCGTCGGCGTCGGCATCGTCTTCGCTTACTGGTTGGACTTCGGACTGTCCTTCGTCGGAGGTGCTCTCGCATGGCGGTTCCCCATCGCGTTCCAAATGGTATTTGCTATCGTGGTCATATTCCTAGTCTTTGCATTGCCCGAGTCTCCTCGCTGGCTCTTCAACCATGGACGCGAGGCCGAAGCCATGGAGGTTCTTTGCGCGGTATACGGGAAAGGACCTACGGACGAGTACATCGTCCAAGAGAGGGATGCCATCATCCAAGCCATTCAGCTCGAGGATTCTGCTAGCGCGGCAAAGTCTTATCTCGCCATATTCAAGAATGATGGCGTCAAGACCGGATATCGAGTGCTCCTGGCATGGGGCATTCAGTTCATGAACCAAGCAGGCGGCATCAACCTCGTGGTGTATTACATCCCCTCAGTGTTGGTCCAGAACGTCGGCATGACCCCTCATATGGCGCAAATCTTGGGAGGATGCATCAATATGATGTTCATGTTTGGATCGATCCTTCCCTCCTTCGCGCTCGACCGTATGGGCCGCCGCAAGACGATGATGTGGGGCTGCTTCGGCCTGGGGATCTGTATGCTGATGATCTCAGCGCTTCTGTCCCAGTCGGGCGTTGCCAATGGACAAGCTTATGCGTCTGCAGCCGTCGCATTCTTCTTCTTGTACATGCTGATCTTTGGCATGAGCGTCAACTGTGTGCCTTGGGTATATGTGCCCGAGATCCTCCCGCTGGAGGCGCGCACAAAGGGCACGGCTGTGGGTATCAGCTCAAACTGGCTCTGGAACTTCACCGTCGTCACTATTACTCCTGTCATCATCAACAGACTACAGTGGAAGGCGTACCTGATCTTCATGGCTACCAACCTACTTTTTGTGCCGATTTTCTACTTCTTCTATCCGGAAACGAGCAATCTCCGCCTCGAAGAGGTTGATTACATCTTTTCGCAGGGCGGTAACCCTGTGCATGTCGCTGCAAGAATGGCTAAAGCTATGGAAGAGGATCAGGAAAAGATGGACAACGCTCCACCGCAGACAGGCGAGTCCATCTTTAATCAGGAGATTCAGGTCATCTCCAATGACAAGGCGTGATGTGCGCGTCGCAGAGGACGTCCTCATAAGAAAGACAGAGCACAGTTGGCGAAAGGAGGGGTTGAAGAACGCTCCGTTGTATGTTGTTTGGTTCACAAGGATGTTTGTGTAGCTTTTATTATTTTCCAGTCGCACTCGATCATTAGGCTGTATCATCCAATTCCCCAGAGGTTTCTGAGGTCTGCCGCTCGTCCGGAAGTCTTCCAACCAGTCTCACGCTCTATCCTAGCCAGGTGTCGCAGAAGTGCAATCTTCTCGGCTGGATGCTCCTCTTCGCCCGGGATATCGCCCCCTGGGGAGCGTGCTCCGTCACACGGTTGCACGGTGAGACCACAGCCGAATGCTTTGCCGGCAATGTAGAGGGGCTGTAGATGATTGACCCAATTCGCACTTGCAGACTTCGTCAGCGGTTTCTCCTAGTGAGGTCACGAAGCCACGTCTTTACATCAATGAGAATGAACGTACTGTGAAGGGTTTGACGTACTGATCCCACAGAGCTCTTTGGCGTGCCAGACCGGGTCGTACTGCAGATTATCTTAGGACTGTTTAATGATGTCCGCCGCATGGCGATGACTCACCTTGTCTACGTCCGCGTCAGGTCTACTCTGCACTACGTGCCCTGCTTGTAACAGCAGGATCGACCCCGCATGGTAAAATGAATTACCGCAGACTGATGACGTACGTAAGTAAAGCGGTAATTGTGCATGACATATTTACACAGACTTACTGGATGAGGAGTGTGTGAAAAGTATGATCTGAAAGGGGCTCTTTTGAGGCGACTCAATCCTGAGAAGGGGGAGAGCCCTTCGAGGACGATAGTCCCGCCACTCTTGTAGTTCGCGCCACAGCGCGTTGATTCTCGATTTTAATTCGGCTTCGCCTCCCGATCCTTTCCTACTCTCCGCAATGAGGTTCGTGATCTTAGCGAACACAAGCGTAGCAAGGTTGCAGTAAGCATCGATCGTGCCGCACTCCGCAACCGAGCGTATGGCACTATTGTCTACCCATGAATCAGTGGGAATCAGCGTCTTCTCTTCAGTCATGAAGGCCGCCCACACATCTGGTAGACATCAGCAAGGTCGCACGAGGAGGCGCCGTTTTTGCGTACCTATGCGCGCAAATGCCCAAAAACATGCATTTATGATTTCCGGACTGGAGCCGTTCCACTTTCTGGACCTCAAAAGCCCTGCGCAGCCCTGTGAGTTACCTAAGCCACTATCGATAACCCGCTAGCGTTCGGGAAGACCAACCTTGAGATGACGTCTCCACTCCCCGACCTCGGATGCCATCATTTCGTACACACATAGAAGCGTACATGTAGCCAAGACGGTTGCACTAGCCTGAGAAGGGTCCTGATGAATGAGCAACTGGATGGCATGTTGGTATAGTCTAAGCGTAGCCTGACGTTGGCGGCTCTTGACAGCGTCAAGTTGCCGAGACGCAAGCGCCATAGCCGCAGCTGCGAATGCCTTGCTGTCCATCATCTCATGAACGCCACAGACGGTAAAATGCCTCTCAGAGTCTGTGGTCTCGCACCAGGTTCCCGTTTCTTGCAGAAATGCAGAAATGAGCTGGCTTTGTTCCAAATCGGACACCGGGAACTCTAGCTCGGGGATTGGTGATGCACTAAGCGAAACGGCCTGGCCAAGCGAGAAGGGTGGGACGAATGTACTCGCTGAAGAGGCGTTGTCTTCATTTGAGTGAAAATTCCGGGTCGACGAAGATGGAGACTCTTCAATGGACTGCTCGCCACCCAGACGGTCAAGATCTGGCCTGGCACCGAGCGCATTGGTCGTAGCACGAGAATTGTCCACATCCAGAATGGCCGGGTCCAATAAAGGAAGCTCCACCCGCGAGTCCTGGTCAGCTCCAGCTTTCCTGTGTATGTCTGGGGCATTTGCGGTCGAGGTGCTGTTCAGCCGACCTGCACCCGCATCAAGGCTCCTCGCAGTGCTTTGAGACTCGTCAGCCGCATGTACCGACAGACTCTGGTCGCAGCGATAATCGCGCACAACCTGGTCCGTGTCATTCACAATCTGCATGTCGTGAGCCACTGTGCGCACGTCGGAGCGACAACATCACGATCTGCATTGACTTGCCAGTACTTGCGAGCGAACACCAGCCAACGCTCTCTCTTCCTCGATCGCCAGTAAGGCGGCGCGATCTTCACTGGAGAGTTGGTGCGCTCTTGATGGGTGAAACGACACCTTCAAGCCCCAGGGGCACTCTTCGCCACGAGCCTGACAATTCTGGCACCGTGGCTGGGTTCCGTCGCCTGTGAGGATTGGTTCAGAGAGAGCTGCAGGGAGCATCTTGGTGGAAACGCACACTTCCGCCTTCTGCGACGACAGCTCAGGCTACAATTGCAATTTTAGCGTCGCGTGGGATAACTCGATTAGAGCTTGTCATTACCAGCCTGATCGGGATCTTGAGCGACTGGCTTTTCCAGAGCTTCCGAGATTCTCTGCCATGTTGGATGTAACAAGCCGAGCAGCTGGTGGCTACAGAAAGTGGAACAGCCTGCGCAATACGAATCAAGACGGCTGCAGCAGAGGTTGATACGCGCGCTCAAGTGCTTGCGGTTGCCTAAGTTTTTGTACCTAGCTGACAGGATCTAGCCGATATCGGACGTGTGGGTTACCCCGCACGTTAACCGGCGTGAGCGAGATTTAAGTCAACTAAGTCCTTAGCCGGCGGCCTTGACCACAGATTTGGCAGCTGCAAGCGCTCCTACTGCGATCTTCCAAAACAGGAAGCTGCGCGTTGTTTGGCTCGACAACAGCTTATATAGTGGTTTGCGATCACGTCTATACATGAAAACAAATTCTTTTGCACGTCGCCAGTCTTCTCCGAGCCTTCCCTTGACATTTGTTTACATTCTACCATCGTGTTCGTCAGCATGGCTCCTTCCAAAGAGGTCATCATCGTGGGAGGAGGCATCTCTGGCCTCGGAATGGCAGTTCAGCTCAAGCGAATGCTCGGACACGACAACTTCACCATATTCGAGAAATCCGACAATATCGGTGGCACATGGTGGCACAACCGCTATCCAGCTTGCGCCTGTGACATTCCAAGCCATTTCTACTCATACAGCTTCGCCTTGAAGCCTGACTGGTCCAGCATGTACCCTGGTCGCGATGAATTGCACTCGTGTAAGCCCTAAGATTCGCAGCGTTCGCGCCGTATGACTGAACGGGTAGCAGACTTTCTCTCGGTAGCCGAGAAATACGACATACTCCCCCACTGCAAATTCAACAGCGTGTGCAAGAGCATGGTCTGGGATGAGCGTCGGCAGCTCTGGACTTGCACGTTTGAAGATACGATTACCGGCAATACGTTTGTGCGCGAAGCCCCAGTGGTGGTCAGCGCGATCGGCACCCTAGACAGGCCCAATATACCGAACATTCAAGGTGTCTCTAACTTCAAAGGCAAAGCTTTCCACAGCGCTCAATGGGATAGTTCCGTCGAGTTGAAGAATAAGAACGTCCTTGTCCTAGGCAATGGCGCCTCGGCCACTCAATTTGTTCCTGAACTCGTCAAGGAAGTAGCACCTCACGGGAAAGTCAACCAGCTTGTGAAGAGCGCTCATTGGTGGACGAAGAGAGTGAGTCGCTCCTAGCGTTTGCGAGCCGTTGATGGGCCAAAGGGCAAGGCTGTTGCACTGCGAACGCCTGCTGACGAACCTACAGGGAAACCCTGTCTATTCAGGGCTCTGGAAAGCAACGATGAGATACGTGCCCTTCGCGGCAAGACTCTACCGTGTATTTCTTGCATGGCAGCTAGAGAGTGTCTTCTACTCTTTCTACATGGACCAAAACGGTCTACGCATGAGAAACAAAATCCGCGAAGCCACGAAGCAATACATCGAAAACGACGCTCCGAAACAGTACCGTAAAGTCTTGATGCCAGACTACGAACCGGGATGCAAACGCCGTGTGAACACAGCAACTTATCTTGCTTGCCTACACTCTCCGAACATGTACCTCGCCAAGGATCGAGTAATCAAGATTGGCGAACAACATGTTGAGACTGAGACTGGAGCGACCTACCCAGCCGATGTCATCATCTACGCTACCGGCTTTGCCACGCAGAAGTGGTTGTTCCCTATGGAGATCAAGGGCATTGGCGGTCGGGATCTCCATGAGATTTGGGATGCCGCTGGCGGCGCTGAAGCATACAAGGGCACAGTCGTGTCAGGATTCCCTAACTTCTTTGTCCTATATGGTCCGAACGCTGCTACTGGCCAACACTCTGTCATCTTTCATTCTGAGTGCCAGATCAACTACAGCTGCCGACTCCTGAGGCCTGTGCTTTGCAGTCGCAACCCAGCCGACTCCATCATGGTCAAGTCCGAGGCTCAGACCCGTGACCTGGCATGGGTGCATTCAAGACTGAGGAATCTCGTGTTCAATAGCGGCTGTCAGAGCTGGTGGTTGGATTCAAAGACAAAGAAGAACACCTTCATTTACCCGGATCCGATGTTCAAGTATTGGTTGCGTACAATCTTTCCCACCTGGTCAGACTTCAACATTCAAAAGAAGGGACGGCAACACAAGAACTTGACAGGAGGGCTGCTGGTCGCCACATGCGTTGGTGCCGGTGCTCTTCTCTGGACTGTTGCTTCAATTCCAAACCTGGCAACACCGCTTGACTTGATGCGAGAGTGGACTCTTTATACTATCTCTAGCTTGAAGTTAAACTAACATTATAGCTATCTTCTTTATGATATGTTAATTCTACAGTGGAAAATCTTGCTACTTTACTACTAATACAATTTCTTAAACTAAAGTATTTTCTCTACTATATCTTCTTCTTACTATAGTAGATTATACTATCATACAACCCGGAGCGGCCGCACCGCTACAACAGGGATATAATTTGATTGGATAGAAAACATTAATCGCGTATGCCTATAGAACATTCCACTAAGATGTCTCACGATAATAACTATTGCACGTGGCTCTGTAGCCTCATTTTTGGTAGTAGGCCTGAGGGTTGACTCTCCAATCGTTAGGTACACAGACATGGTATCCCGCACACGTGCCAGCCGTGGAATGTAGGCTCAAATCCGGTATCTCATCCGCTCAGGGTCTTTGACGCTAGCTGTTCCTCTTCCTTCGTGCGTCCCTATCGAAGATGAAGTGACGCAGCTTTATCTACGGAATAATGACGGTCGGGACAAGGAACAAGACGCGGCGTAGTGAAAAGAAAGTGCTGACTGCCAGTATTCCTGTCAGCAGTGTAGCTGGCCTTCCACGAAGATAGCTGTCTGTTGCCATGTCAGCACTATCGTTGGTGACGGTCAGCAATACAAGTTCCGCACTGGAATGATGGGCGCACTCAACGGAGAGTCCTGGAATGTAAATCAGTATTTTAGACTTCCTGACTCTACAGATCAAAGACCACCAACAAAAACGCTCTATTATTAGGATACTCTGCACAACTTGTCTTTGTCAATATAAAGATAGCGCGATTCAGCCTTAGTTTGCTCTATTCTATCTCGTTTTAGTTATAGACAATGCAGCATGCAATCTAAGCTGGAGTAAATGTTATAAGTTCATAAGAAGCAATGCTGCAAGTAGACATTCTAGCAGCCTGCGTTACATATAGCCTCACGCTACACCCAGCTCTAGCACATACTACCTTATTGCAAGAAATGCAAAACAGAACCTGCATAAAGGGGTTTATATTCAGAGGTAAGATTCATTATATAGTTCTACTTATAGTGTAAAGCTTTCACCTATGCGCCGTTGTTAGACTTATATCACTACTCGGGTTGCAAATAATAAGACGTGCCAAGGCTAGAAGGAGCGGCAAACTAACAGTGAGACTTACAACTAGTATTGGCGCTGCCAATCGCGTGAAGCAGAAGTTTGTAGCTTAAGAATTTAAGCAGCATAATAGTGCATATTTGCCTCTGTGTGCAAGATTAAGAAGGCCAAGAAAGCTGCCTTAACGCGCTAGGCATTAATATTAGCTAGCTCATTAGAACTATAATTGCATATTAAAGAGTAATTAGTCTTAAGAAGCGCTATACAAGCATCTAGCCCCTACACGTGACAATAACAACAGTAGGTGCAACAACAAGTATCTATATCTATTCACCTATCCTTTCTTATAGATAATTAGCTAATAATTACTTTCTACTTTCTATACCTTACTATAATATTATATAGTAGTAGATAAGATATATAGCGTGCAAAGTATATAGAATACTTAATAATAACTCTATTATTTGCCTTTAGCTTAACTTAAAGGAAAATACACCTCTTACTATTAGCTCTATAGGCCGACACTAGGGTTAGCTAGAGGTAGTAGGGCCTAGTATATATACTAGAGGCACTCTACCCTGTTCCTGCTTAGCAGTAAATAGTCTATAGTCTACTAATATAACCTATAGCTACCTATTTAGTATTGTTTAGTATCTTATATTTATGCAATACTACCCCCTCTCCTATAACCTAGGTATATAGGTTCTAATATTCTGTTTACTCTTATATAGGAGAGTAACTAGTTAGATTTTAATAATAAGCTCTATTATAAGCCCCTATATAGAGGAACTTACTCTAGACCTACCTAAGGTGCAACCTTAAGTACTTAGGAGTTAAACCTCTATATATATATCTACTAGAGCCTCAGGGGAGACACTATAAGCCTCTTAATAAATAAACTCTAATAAAACATCTAGTTTAGCCTAGAGTTGCCTATACCCTAGCATAATAGCACTAAATACTATATAATAGGCTACTATAGTCCCTAAAGAGCTAGTCCTTAATAATCTAGACACTAAGCTGTAGTAGTTAGAAGAATAGCACTAGAGGGCTAAAAAGTAGCTCTAAGTAGTATAACTTTAAGAGTTATAAGCTAAATACCTTGCAGATAATCTAATAGCACTTAACACTACTTATAGTAGCCTACTAATAATAATTATAGTGCTAGTAGTCCTAACTACTAGCCTTCTATAACATAAGCTACCTTATATATTTATAAAATGCAATAGGGTAGACTTTAATTATTAGAAGCATAATTATAAGAGGTACTTCTACTAGCTTCTAGCTAACTTCCTATAGAAGATTTAGAAGGTTAACTTTAGTATATAATATATCTCTAAAGTGCTAAAGATACTCTAGGAGGCATATTAATTAGATTAACTTTAATTATCCCTATTTTAGGAACTAACCTAGGAAGCTATAAAAGTAGTTATGCTAGGCTCTCTAGAAACCCTCTTTAAATAAAGGCAGTAGGTATATAAGGCCTTAAATAAGTTCTATATACTCCCTTATTAGATACTAATAGATTTGTTAGATTATATAAGGCTGTTCTAGGAAGAGTTAGGAGAAACCTACGTCCCTATACTCTAGGTAATAGGTTATCTCTATACCTTACCTAAAGATACTTAGAGGTAGCTCTTCTTATTACCTAAGGAGCGTTATATAACGCTTATATAGATTAAAGAGGCTATAAATATAATTTACTACTAAAAGAGTTAACTTAGGCTAACTTAGGATAAAAAACTTATAAAGGACTAAGAGAAGGGTAAAATAGACTTAAAGAATAGATAGGGAGGTAAAAAGACCCCTAAAAGGTTAAAGAAGGGAAGTCTAAGCTATAATAGCCTAAAATAGACTAAAAATGCGCTAAGGAAACCTAAACCTTTAACTATTACCTATTATATATATAGGGAAGCTAGATATATCTAGCCTAACTGCCTGCACTCTAATATATCTAAGAAACCTACTAAAGGGTTAGATATAGGAAAAGGGAAGAGGTAAAAGGTATAGATATATACCTTCTTGCCTATATATCCTAAATATAGGAAAGTAAAGACCTTAGCACCCTTTATACTATATTATACCTAAGACTAATATAGTTACTTACTATCCTAGTAGTTATAGAGTCTTTAGAGGCAATATAATCTCTAGTTAACCCTAGTTCTTAACTAAACCTACTATTAGTATTAATAGTAAAGGAGCAAAATCTCTAAGTTAAACCCCTTCTAGGCCTATTAGCTAAAGAAGTTAGTAGTATAGATATCTATATCTATAGTATAACTATTACTAAGATTATAGTTACTAACTTATATAGGAATAAGAAGATATAAGATATTCTATTTATAGTTATAGACCTAAAGAGGTACTAGCTATACCTTAGTCTATCTTAGATTAATATATATTAACCTAAGCTAAACTTTATAACTAGAAGGTTACTATTTAGAGGAGAGAAGGTAAAGAATTAATACTCTTTCTAAAAGATTTCTAGTAAAGATACTAAAGAGTTTAAGAGGAATATGCGTAATCTAATAGTAGATATATATACCTACCTTATTAACTTTATAGAGTATAATAGAGAAGAAGATCCTATTATAGACTAAATATCTCTATAATATATTAAATTTGCTAATATTATATTAGAAGATAACTTAAAGGTCCTCTCTAAATATAGTTTAAATAACCTAGCTATTAATATTATAGAAGGTAAAAGTCTACCTTTCTAACTACTATATAGCTTATTAGTAGCTAAATTAGTAGTATTATATAAGTATCTAAATAACTTTATAGCTAGAGGTTAGATATAGTATTTAAAGTTACTAGTAGGCACCTTAATACTTTTTACTAAGAAAAAAGATAGAAGTCTCTACCTCTATATTAATTTTAGGGGCCTTAATAAGGTTACTATTAAGAATAGGCACCTTCTACCTCTTATTACTAAGTTTCTAGAGCGCCTATTATAAGTAAAAGTTTATACTAAGCTTAATATAAGAGACGCCTACTATAGAATTAGAATTAAGAAAAGGGATAAGTAGAAGACTACTTTTTAAATATAATATAGGTATTTTAAGTATAGAGTTATACTATTTAGCCTTACTAATACTTCTATATAATTCTAGGCTTATAACGTAGGTGTACAGCGAGCGGGCCAGTACACTGAGCGGGCCACTTTTGCCAAGACTACACTAAAACACCATCACCATCTAAATGCCCCCCTACCAACCCCATTTTAACGCGTTAAAAGAGTGTTAGATCCAGCTTGCGCTTTAAGCTCTTAAACAAGACGTAAAACTCCTAGTGCGACGTGCTGCAGCTATCTACAGAGTCTCTCAAACTACACTAGACTATCGACGCGCAGGACGACCTTCACGTGTTGATACTATGGCTAACTTATGTAATCTAACCAGCGCTAAGGAGCAGGTGATTGTTATGCGCATACTTGAGCTAGTTATGCAAGGAGAGTCCCCTTGGCTTACAATTGTAGCTGATATAGCCAATTCTCTGCAAAAAGAGCGCGGTTTGGCCCCTGTTGGCCTAAGGTGGGCTAGCAGGTTTGTTTCGCGTCAGGAGGAGCTTAAAACAGTCTTTAATTGCAAGTACGACTATAAGCGAGCCCTCTGCGAGGATCCTGCGGTGATCTAGGGCTGGTTTGGCCTAGTAGCCAATATCAAAGCCAAGTATGGTATCCTGGACAATGACACGTACAACTTCGACGAGACAGGCTTCATGATGGGCCAGATATCTACTGGAGTTGTTGTCACAGATGCAGAGAAGCCAGGACGAGCAAAGCAGGTCCAGCCAGGCAACTGGGAGTGGGTAACAGTCATTGAGGGCATCAATGCCACAGGATGGGCCATTCCGCCCTACATCATCTTCAAAGCCCGCTAACACCTGTCTAACTGGTACAAGGACAACAACCTGCCCCAAGATTGGAC